TGGAGGTCTTACCATTAAATTATAAGAGACGACAAACTGTGGAGAAAAACTGTGCATGAAGGTGGATGACCGAGCAAGATGAAGAGTCTTACTGATAATTCAATATGTCAGCAAAATAAAAAATTATGAAGCATTCATGTCATGTGGAAGTAAAGTACTGAATTGCATTAAGAAATAAATAAGTTTACACAGAGTTGAGAACAAATTATAGACAGTCTTAAGAAACCAATTTCTTGAACTGCCAAATGAATTATTTGATTAATTATTGTTAATTAATTACTGGAAATAATTACAGCAAAAATCCTGAGTACCGGACCACCTGAGTAACAACAAATCCAAATAATGATATGAATCTTGGATATTTTTTTTTTTTTGTAATTCAAAAAATTATCTCTTGGGTCACTGATATTGTTGTAGAGCAACGCGGCACGGACCGTGTGGTCCCGCCCGCATCACAACGTATTCCTTCATGAAATAAATAACACGCATTGTGAGACGGATTGACAACTTAGGTTATATGCCACCCAATTAAACTAGATTCCTAGAAGCTCAGAAGGCTAAAAATAAATAATGCAAGACAAAAACATAAATAATAAATAGCATAGAAATTTCAGGTGTCAAACAGTCAATGGAACCAGACAGTCATCACAATGGGGAGGGGGCGCCCTCTCTATTTAAAAAAACCCTGAGACAGCTGTGTGTGGCCAATGTGGAGGCGCACCAACAAAACAGTCTCCCAGTGGTGCGACAGTCCCTGATATCCGCAGGCACCCAAAGCAGGGAGGATGTCGCAGAGCTTGTTTGTTCCGATGGCATCCCACCTGCATTGCCAACTCAAGCGGATGGCAGCTCTTAGGATGGTGGGTGGAGGAAAGATGAAGAGTAGCAGATGTGCTGGCCTCATCCATAAGGACCTCAGCCACTACAGGATAAGTCTGAGGACTAAGGATTGGTGGCATAGAGTCGGGTGTGGGAGCTGAATTCAATACAGGTACAATAGTTACAACAACTATCTGTGCATACTTTGAGGGAAACAATATGAGACCATGGACGATAAATTTTGGTATATGAGGGCTGTCACTAGTCACACGTAAAATTTTGGAGCATATCGACCCCCACCTGCACAGATAGTAGTTTTAGCTACTGTACAATTGATTCTCGAGGCGGTGTCGCAGCAACAGTTCGCCAAGCCTTGTGTTGGAATAGAACCTGTGCATATGAATACCCATGACTTGAGACTGATTTCAGTGCTGTGCTTCTGGCTTCAGCAAAGCTCACTTTGTCTCTCATGCGGATATGGAATATCTCTATCTCGAGCCTGAACCGGTCACATTCACTAGAAGAGGTCAGGTGCGCCTCACTACAGGGAAAACAGCAGACCGGACCCGGACCTTTCTGACCCTCATGAGCCTTACCACAGCTAACACACTGCAGGAACACCCACCTGTAACTTATGACAAGTATGGCTAACATGGCCAAACATCTGACAATGGAAGCATCGTCTAGGGTTTGGGATGTATGGTTTCACCTTAAGGGAGCTCTTGGCAACCATGATAGAGGTTGGAAATTCAAAGAAGTCAATTGTCAATAACAGAGTTGGTGTAGTGTTAAAAACGCCATTCTCTTTCTTGCACAACCTGTCCACTTTCACCACTTTCTGGACTCGGAGCACTGAGTATTGGAGCAGCTCTTTAGAGAATACCACCCCTCAACACTGCTTAAAGTTTCTATGTAGAGTACAGGAGACTGGGGCACCAGGTACCTCAGACAGGGTACAGAGTTGAGCACTCTCCTCAGGGAAGGAGACTTCCACGAGGAGACTACCATCTTGCTCAGAGGATATTTTAGGTTCTCTTCCACAAATTGTTACTACTGACTTGTGAACATGAAATATGTCCAGGTCCATTACAGGCTTGCCTTCTATGGTATGGAACACTAAATATTTAGAAAAATCTACCTTTTTGAACACACCTGGTAAGATTTCACAGGTAGAAGCATTAATGTGGATTATGTCAGGAGCAGTGGGCCCCCTGCAGCTCTTATACTTGGGTATTTGTTGGGACCCAGTGCCACTTTTTTTCATCTGATAAAGCTGTAATGTAGCAATTGCTAATCCAGAGGAGGGTCCAGGGGATTGGTACAGGGTCGTCAGGGGTAGTGGGGAAGTATACGTGGGTAACCACCAGGTGGCCAAGATGACAGTTCTTAGACCATAGGAGTGCCAGGTACACTGATGCCTCCTTGCCCATAGCCACACAGTGACTAGATGATCTACTTGAGCGGGCCCAATCTAGCTGCCCATCTAGCTGGAATAAAGGACCACAGAGGTATGTTTCTAGCCACAGAGCACAGTGTGCGATGTCGCTCAACATCCAGGATTCCCGTCTCCCAGCATTATGCAATGTCACGCATAGAAAAAACACATGGGAGGGTATTCGAGCCCCAGTGGTCTGGGCTGGGGATGATGCTGCCGGTCTGCTCTCAAAACTGGCAACAGGATAGGAACCATTTTGTCTAGACCCTCCCTGGTGGCCCACCCAAGGAGGGAAGGAAGGAGGGTCAAGCCCCCTCTGGTGATGAAATGCAAGGTATAATACATCACACGTTTTTTCAGCCAATTTGACTTTTTCTCTGGAAAGTGAAAAATATTGTGTTTAAATGGTAGAATCGGTCTATATTTATGGTAAAACATAGGAATACATGAATTAAAACTTACAGGCACAGCATAATTGGCATTAGAGCAAAAGTGGTCAAAGTTTAGATTTTATTTACATTTCATACTACGGTTATTCCTTTACATGCTAGTTATGAATCTCAGACAATACAGTACGTTGCAATGTCGAGGAATTAGAATTAATTAATGACCCCTGTAGTAATTACAACTCGTGTAGATTATTTAAAATAACTATTACAGTACTCATGCTAGTTTCAATTACACCTATATACATTTTACCATGAATATAGATCAACTTTACCATTTAAATACGGTATTTTTCACTTCCTCGATAAAAAAAGCATAAATAACTATCATTATATCACAGTACAGTATTTATATAATGGATGAGGAGTTCATTAAAATAATATTATAATTCAGTGAGACCTCTCATAAATGACCAGTGGTGTGCCCTGTGTTAGCTGCACTCATCACACTACATAGGCCTTAGTATGTAAAGACTTCATGTTTACACGGTAGTATTCAATCAATGTAGGATGCAATTTATTGTTTCTTCTAAACTGATAAAATACTTCAAACACAAAGCAACCAAAATCTAAATTACCAGGTAGACAAAAATTATTATGAGATCTGGAGGAAACTACATAAAAATAAAATATAAACTAAAGGTGGAGAAAGAGGCAATAAACTACCTGGAGTCCTGTAGGGACAACATGGTCTTCATGGCCTTGATCTGTTGGAAGTGTGATGACATGTCAGTGGCCAGCACCATCTCTATCACGAGGGTGCGGAACTCACGGTACTCCTCCCGAGACAGGTTCACCAAGACGTTGTGTTCTTCTGCACGCAATAGTCTGTGGTCATAGAAGACTATCAGTTAATATACACTGTTAGATGGAGGAATACAAAGTTCCACCTGTAAAAAGAAAAATATATTTTATGTTATGTTGTGCTATGTTATGTTACATTATGTTATGTTATGTTATTGGTCAACTTCCCTGATTCAATATTATCTTGGTCTGCTCTACATGATGTTTTACTGTACATGTACTACATCAATGTACAGTATATATGTGTTCTTCACACATATACACATCTACAGAGAAGAGCATGGAATGAACACCTTCATACTGTACAAACGTCCACATCTCCACATGAGGATGGGAAGCATGTGGAGTTACCTGAAGGCTGCACAGATGTGGTGGTTCTCAAGAACTGCACGATCATTGTACAGGATGGCTGTTTCAGAGCCAGACATTACATGGAAGTTGTTGGTGGTGCCAGTGTGCTCGTAGTCATGGACGAGAGCTGCCATCAGTGTTGCCAGAATCTCCACATCATTCAGCCAGTTCTGTGGGAAAGTACATGCAAATAGTATATAAACATAGAATAAAATATGTAAATAATTAATCCCTCTAAGAGCCTCATCACCATTATTTACCTTTTTCATCACTAATCACCTGTCTGGCTTCACCTACCTCACATGGTTACTGGTATATTCATTAACATACACAGTCCACTTCTTCTGTCACAGAATTTTGCAGTTACTTCAACAATCTAATATAATCTTCACATGCCCAGTATGATTCCTTCATCCTCTAGCTAAACACTTCACAAACTCTTTCACAAGTTCTGAAGTGATATATTCATGGCTCTCTTACAGTCACTTATCTTAATTCATTTCTCAGGGGTACAAAAATCTCAAAAGTTAGGAGAGAAATGATGATCAGGAAGAATGGTACAACACGAGAGCAAAGCAAAGTAAGAAATGGGTAAAACAACAAGCACAAATACCTATACATACACGGTATGACACGTTCACATCAACAACTTATATTCACTGTATAAAAATAAAGTCCTTTCACACACTCTCAATGTTCTCCATCAACTTACTCACTTGACTCATTGGGCAATAAGCAGTGTATAAATTACCAGATTAAGTCAAAGATTATTGAAAACAAAAACTACCAGGAAGAAGTAGAGATATTCACCATGAGGCCGGTCTGGGAGAGCATGTAGTGCATGGTCTGGAGGACGTCAGCAGCATGTACGTTGTTATGGTAAGGGTTCTTGTACTTGCAGTAACCAGTTTCCACTTGTGTCAGGAATGTCTCCAGGGTGGCAGGAGGCATCTACAGGAGGAGCATCATGGTCCACATTAACAACCTAAACAGTACTGTACTGTGTATGTCACCCTTCTTAAAGCTGGAGGTGAGCAGACAACTGTGGTGTGTATTTCCTTTTAAATATTATGGAAGATATACTCAAAAAGGAGGTGGACATTTTCAAAGGAACTGTAATGTATTGTTGGCACTGTTGTCAGCCTTCATGGTGGCCAAGTCATCAAAATTTCTTTCCATAAAAAAGATTTACGTAACAACAAATATTTTCATTTCAAGACACACACTACATCTCGCCTTATAATCTACACCAACATTCAAAGTAGTGATGCACCTTTGAAGTGAAATTTCTAAATGACAATTGCCCAATCCCTGGTTACTGTACCTACAGGGGGATATACTGTATATGAAAGGAAACTGACCTCTAGGGAAAGTTTAATGCAATAAATTAATAAAAATTCAGTCCAGTACTGCATTGCTTGATCAATGTACGAGTATACAAAGTTTTATGTACCAATATACAGGTATCTGTCACTTAGCGAATGGGTTCCATTCCTGGGGATCCTCTGTATTGTATTATTAAACCACAGAATATAGTACAGCTCCTCCCCGACTTACGACGAGGTTAGGAACCGGCATCCAGGTCGTAAGTCGAAATGGTCGTAAGTCGGAAATGCGTAAATAATACATATAAAATCTAAAATGGGTGTCTCTTTTTCTTCTCAGCACCACAAAACACTCATTTTTAAGCTTGCCAGCCATTTTAAAGTGAGTTACAAACAAAAATTTTGTCTGTGTACTGACTTTGGGACTCGAAAATACGTAATTTGACCAAATTTTGGTACGACTGAGGCAGGTCGTAAGTGCGGGTGGTTGTAAGTCGAGTAGGTCGTAAGTCGGGGAGGAGCCGTACTAAGGTAGTGATCTGCCAGCCTCAGACAGTCCAAGCTCAATGTAATGCTTGTTGAATTCTATCAAATAAACTTTCACTAACACTCCAGTAGACATACTATTACTGAGTAGAGATCAAGCATAAGCCTAAGCAAATGGCCCTTCTGGAAATAAGCACCTGACAACTTTGTCGGCTACTCTTGGTCAAGTTGCCTGACTGTTTACCTGTACTGTCTCAACACACAGGAAACTGTACAGTATAGAGTTCTTCCACAGTCTACGTGCACTGTATACCTACATTGTCTTTATTCATGCTGAACTGTATAACTGCATAGTTTATAAACATGATTATCCAATTGTAAACCTGTATGACAACTTTACTGAATAAATATTATTATAATCATTATTACAAATTTCATTATCATTAGTCTTTCATTCCTCTTTCAAGTGTTATCCTGGTGGCTAGCACACACACACACACACTCCTTGACCACCGAAGGGTCAAGACGTACCTGGCGCTCCTCTCGGAGCAGCCAGGTCAACTGTTATGTTGGCCCATACCAACTCCCTCCCCTGAACCCTCCTCCCCACCGGAATATCAACAAGTTCACGCCAGAAGTTACTATTTCATTTAGGAAAGAAATGGAACCAGTGTTAAACAGAGGTGAACAGTGGTGAACAGTGCTTAAGTCAGTGAGAACAACTCAACAGTAACAGTGGTACCCAAGTTGACCTTTCACACAGTGAGGTCCCAGGTACCCAGTGATAACGGCCCGTGAGACCCAACTACCAGCGATGTGTTAATCCGTCTACGATAGGAAGGCCTGGAACCACACCTCACTCATATAACACCATCTGTGAGGGAATTACTACACCACGTGAGGCCCCTCATAACACCATATGTGAAGGAGTTACTACACCACGTGAGGCCCCTCACAACACCATCTGTGAGGGAATTACTACACCACGTGAGGCCCCTCATAACACCATCTGTGAGGGAATTACTACACCACGTGAGGCCCCTCATAACACCATCTGTGAGGGAATTACTACACCACGTGAGGCCCCTCATAACACCATTGAGGCCACCTCAACACCATCTGTGAGGAATTACTACACCACGTGAGGCCCTCATAACACCATCTGTGAGGGAATTACTACACCACGTGAGGCCCCTCATAACACCATCTGTGAGGGAATTACTACACCACGTGAGGCCCCTCATAACACCATCTGTGAGGGAGTTACTACACACTACGTTTTTGCTGTTCAACACCTACATTAATCTGTATGTTCACTGTATGTTCCTTTACCTTTCTCTAATGAAGGCTTTTGTTAAACCACCAATGTATGTAATAAGTCATTTATGCCCAATGTATATTTTCAGCCTTCGGGCTGCAGAACTTTTTCAATAAACCGTTAATTATTATTATTATTATTATTATTATTATTATTACACACACACTCCCATAATTCACTTCACTATTGTAACAGATGTGTTCTACTATGGTACAGTACAGTATTCTCTTTCCACAGCAAGACCTCAGGTGTGCATCATCTTTATCACCTTTACTTCACCGGCCACAAAATCACCCACCAGGTCCTTCCTTGCCCATCATAATCACTTGTCCTTCACAGTACAGTACTCAAAACTTACTTTAAATTTGTGTAAAAGGCCATAGCGGTTCAGTAACTCATATGCCAGGCAGCGGAGCGGTGTGTTGTTACTCGCCTCTTGTAGCTTCCACACATCAAATTGCCAGTCATCTACACTCTGTAATGACATGACTGTATCTAAGACACTTTACTATACACTGCTTGGGGGAGAGGGGTATTATTATTTAGCAATATTCAGGGGTATTATCGAGGATATAGTGATAATAAACACCCTACAGGAAATAAAAATCTGATGGTTTTGTTGCCTATCCTTGGTCGAACTGCTTTACTGTGTACTATTATTTGTACAGTACAGTCACCCAAAAAAGTCCTGTAGCGAACCACGAACCACGAGATTCAGACTCGTGAACCCGAAGCAGTAGACACTGATACATTATTCTGTCCATAAATGCTTCGGATTCAAGAGTCTGAATCTCGGGGTTCGTGATTTGCAACAGGATTTTTTGGGTGACTGTACAGTACATCATTTCATCATTTGTCTAGGTACATTGGTTGTATACCTGCATAGTATATATATATATATATATATATATATATATATATATATATATATATATATATATATATATATATATATATATATATCATTGTTTTTATCATGGCATTAGGATGTAACCCTAACCTGATGTGTCCTAACTCACTTCACTTAGCCTAAACTATCCTAACATGACACAACACACTTCACCTTAACCCTTAAACAGCAGCCATCGTCCATTGTTGTTGACACAGGCAACCACAACTTAATCTAACCCAACCACAACTTGACCTGACCTAACCCAACCACAACTTGACCTGACCTAACCCAACCACAACTTGACCTAACCTAACCCAACCACAACTTAATCTAACCCAACCACAACTTGACCTGACCTAACCCAACCACAACTTGACCTGACCTAACCCAACCACAACTTGACCTAACCTAACCCAACCACAACTTAATCTAATCCAACCACAACTTGACCTGACCTAACCCAACTACAACTTGACCTAGCCCAACCACAAACCTAACGAAACCAAACCCTAATTTGACCTAACTAAAATCTCACCTAAACAGACCTTAACCTAACTCACCTTCACACAACCAATAAACCTTCCTTTATCCCACATGATCATATCTTCCTTCTACTGACCCCATGACCTGTGGCACTGACCTGTAACTGAGAATGGTGCTCCTGACCTATTAACCTAATTCCATAACCTGTGGACAGTAATAACCTGTAACTAACAGCCGACTACATGCCCTGTTGATAATGACTCAGGACAGACATCTGACTCCCTGACCTCAGCTGATAATAACACGAGTGAAAACTTCAATGTTTGACCTCTTAATATTAACCTGTAAGTGATACCAGTGACCTACCTTGAGGATCTTTGTGACCTCTGGTGGCAACTGGAGGAAGGTGGCGGAGGAGAGGCGACGATAGATTCTCTCCACGAAGATGCCGGCACGGATGGCGTTGGCCACCGACCTGCCGAGAGGGGACATCTTAGTGATGATGCTAGTAACATAACACACTGATGCAAGTGAATGAAGTGATGTAATGTTGTGTAAAGTTTTACTTTTGGACAACTGGGGATCTTAGAAATTTGGGTAAAATTTTACTTGTTGCCACTATACGAAATCGAAGTTGAAACTACGTTTTTCCGATGGCTTTTGATGTGTTATGGACGAATTTAACCTTAATTTTTGGCACAAATCAATAGTTTCTCAGGGTAAATTTTTCTTGTAGCACCGTTCACTTGTAGCAAATTAAAAAATATATTTTTCTATTGTATTTGTGTGTGCTGAGACCGTATATGACCTTCCTTTTTGGCGGAAATTAGCCGGGGGTTTTTTTTGGCGATTTCTTTTCGTTTGACGTTTTCCAAGAAAAAAAGTGCCTAAGCGACTAACAAATACACAATGAAACACTAGAAAAACAATAACCAAACATAACCTAACCTGACCTAACTTAACTGACTCTCACCATATGAGGGAATTACCTATTTCTTACCTTATTGGCCTGGTTCTTGTTCATCGTTGCATTCTGGGATTCTTACCCAACGCCACATGTGTTGGTCTTTACGATATTTACATTCAGTCTTGCTCTTAGTACACTTTACTGAGGTTGGAAGAACACCATGCGATCGAAAAAATGCTATAGTTTCTTCGTTTTTTTCCCCAAACCTCACAATCAGCTCCATATACTTTAAGTGACACCCATCGCAGACTTCCATGGTCGGAACTGAACTTGAATTTCAAAATAAGAGACCAAAAAGAATACTCGAATTTGATTGGGCCAAATATACCGCGAATTAAACCAAAGAACATTTTAATTGGCTTCAAAATAAAAAAGGCCTTTGATGGCCGCGTGACGTGTACAGGACGCAGGAGACACAGTGTTGGAGGAGAGGCAGACGATAATGGCGGAAGGTTAATGGAAGAAAATAGAAAATATTTTGGAAGAGCTATCTCCGTTATTATACATTTCCGCCGGTAATGTAATAGATGAAAATTATCTTATAATTAGACGTCTTATTTGAATATGATAATAGATTAGCGGTAGGAATGAACGGTGCTACAAGAAAATAATACCTTTCTCAGAATCTAGAGATTTGCTATAAACATCAAAAACCACCGGAAAAATAGTTTTGAACCTAACCTGACCTAACCTTACCTAACCTAACCTTACCTAACCTAACCTAACCTAACCTAACTGGAGGGTCCACAGTCGTTCGATGTTCTGGGTGTGTACCGCCACGTGTGAACATACATGACAAAAATGTTAAATATCTCACTTATACGTAATTAGCGCTAGAAATGCCATTGAAGAAAAGTGTCTTAAAATTGTCAAAATTACCACTTGCAACTAAAATTCACGAGATTCATTTTGTGGCAACAATTTTAAAAAAGTTTTTCATACATCATAAAATGTTAAATACCTGTACATCACGTGTAGACATACCTTGCGCCCCAAATACCACTGAAGAAGTGTCTTAGAAGTGTCAAAATTACTGATTACAAGTATAAAATTCCCGAAAATCGTTTAGTGGGAACAGGTGAAATAATACCGAAATTTTATCTTCTATGACGTTTCCCTCACAAATGACCTCCTAAAGAAGCCCCTCCCTCCCCCCGGCATGTGTCGTTTGCCAGGGAAGCGTAACAGGTGTCTTTGAAATGTCTAAACTACTGACTCCAATAGTTAAAATCCTATGATTTCCTGGATGAACGAAACTGAAATAATACTTAATGATGATGCAAGTGATGTAACAGGAGCAATATAGTGGTGATACGATGACAAGTGACGCAATAATGATGTAACTGTGACATAAGAATGATGAATGACACAATAATGATGCAATAGTGTCATAACAGTGAACATTATTGACTAAGTGACTTAACATTAACGCAGCAGTGACATTGGCTCCCCTGAAGAACAGCCCCCAGCTTATATCACCTGCTTACTACACACCCAAAAATTTAAGAAGGCGACAAAGTGATAAAACACGTATCTTTCATGTCGATAAAACACGTATCTTTCACGACTAAGTTATTGCCTGGGTCGAGCCTTGATTGGCCCTACCAAAGGTCTCCTCAGAGCGTTACACATTCCTCCAGTACTAACACTTGAAAAATTCTTCCGACCGTCTACAAGCTGGGGATAAGTGGACAAGAGTCACATAAGCACTGTTAGCGCCAGGTGTCCCATTTTCTATGTTGATTCTGCTTGCACGGTTGCACCTGTCAGTAGGAGATCTATACTCCATAAGAGGCTAGTTATAAAATGTCAAACCATTTAAAATGTCTAAATTATATATTAATATTATATAGGTACAGTATTCATAATTTTATTAGATTACCTAAATCTATATTTTTTATTGATATTCGTAAATACATAGTTTGTTTACATAGTTAGTCCCTGGTCGGGGTTTACAGCTGATAATGACACACTGGTTACCCTGTGGGGTTCACACTCAGGATGGGATGGAGAAAGGAAACTCACAATGTGCTCTCTGTATACATATTGTATTGGATGTACAATGCAGCTTGGTGCTGGGAAGTGGCAGCGTGGTTACACGCGTGGTGTAGAGAGAGCTGGTTGGTGAGGGTGCTCAGAGGAGGACCAGCTTGTGGGTCGCCATGCTCGCCGGCGGGAGCGAGGGCCGCCAGGCAGGCGGAGGAGGTGGTGTTACTTGATGTGGCAGTAAGTAGAAAGAGAGGTAGGTCACCACGAGGTCAGGTCTTATATAGCGGAGGTAGGCGTGGCTTAATAGTTGACCTCCGTCATGTAAGGCGGCGCTGGTTGACCTAGACCACGAGGCATACACTGGGGAATTCGCAGGGTCGGCTACTCAGCGACAAACAGCGTTTGTAGGGGAGAAATCCACTACAACCCCTTCCTTGATGGTTACGGTACTCTGTGCATATGTGGGTGTCAAGGCGCTCAGAAATTTTTTTTTTTTTAAGAAAATGTATGCAAGACAACGACGCAAAAACTGCTAATGTGACGTCGCCCGGTTTAAGTTAGCTTTAAGACGATATAAGCTGGGGTCGGTAATCTTCAGCTAATCTCTAATATAATTATTTAGTGGATATAGTTTAGATATTGGAAGCATAATACATTGTCTAATGGTAGACCCTTCTGCCATGACATCACAAAAATTGTGACCAAGTCCCAGGTTGCTGATTTGACTTTCTGCCTCATTTAAACACAATTGCAGGATTTCAATTGTTTCTCTTACTATTGACAACACAACATACATACTGTATATTGTTTCTCACTATTGACCTTTTTATAATTTATCATGGTTATTATTTGTATTATTATTTTATTTTTACTTGTTATTATTTTTTATTAATTTAATTATTATTATTATTATTATTATTATTATTATTAGTGTATTTTTATTATTATTATTATATTTTCGCCCCCCCCAAGGCTCTGGTGTGGGTCAGTAACCTGTGCCTGGATGGGCTAATCTCCGTAAAAAAAAAAAAAACCCTAATAAAGTAGAGATGAATTTCTGATAAACAGGGTAATTATCGCACAAAGACTGGCATACGATTTAAGCAAAATGACATTGAAAGTTTGGGCAAAGTGGATGGGGTTTCGAAGTAGAGGGCAAATGTGAGACTTAAAACATAACTAAAAGAACCTAACCTAACCTGGTCATTGCAATCACCAACTCACGGGCGGATCCAGGAACATCAAAAGGGGGGTCCAAGAAGTTGTGGGTGTGAGAACATGGCGAGCACAGCGAGCCTACCCAGCTTTTTATTTTTATTTTTGGGGGGGGGCGCTATATCAAGGGCAGATCCAGGGGGTCCGGACCCCCCCTTTTCATCAGAAAATTCCAATACTTTTCTTTAATGCAGTATTGTACTCAGGCATTTTTGTATAGTAAAAAGTAATTACTATTGACCTCAGAATATCTCTTGATATCAAGTGCACATGACTTCCAAATATCCATGATATTGGTCAGATTAAAAAAAAGACTATCAACAGCTGGTGGACTCATCCAAAAAAAAAACCTTTTTGGACTCCCTCCTTTTAATATTCCTGGATCCGCCCCTTTAGCCCCAAGATCTATTTTTTTAAATCTGACCAATATCATGGGTATTTGGAAGTCATGTGCACTTGATATTAGGAGATACGCTGAAGTCAATAGTAATTAATTTTTACTATACAAATATGCCTGAGTACAATACTGCATTAAAGAAAAAGTATTGGAATTTTCTGATGAAAAGGGGGGGTCTGGACCCCCTGGATCCCCCCTGGATTCGCCCCTGCAACTGTGTGAGAGCATATACATAGGCTATCTCCTTGAAGATTATGCCTGATGGCGTCGGTGTTTGGGGAATAATAGCCAAAACAAGTGACGTGTGAGACAAAACAATGATAAAACAAACAGATGTGATTACCGAGGACTGTACTGTACCTTTAAGATCAGCTTAACATAGAGTTAACAGTTCTGACTCCCTAATAAAAACTAGGAGGAAACTGAGCTAATAGAGAATCATTTGAGGAAGAAACTGAACTGACACACCACACAAAGGAGAATATTCACTGAAACACAGTAACCCGGTGAAGAAACTAAGGTGAAATAGGACTCACCTGAACCTTGGCTTCTCGTCATTCTTCCTGCGGGCGGTGGAGAGCTGGCGGGTGAAGGTGGAGGCGAGCCACTCTCTCACCTCCTGGGGCACGGCGTCAGGCTCTACCTCAGATAACTCGTCTTCCTCCTCCCCTACCTGACGCCTGTTGAGGGAGACAGTCACCAGAGGTCACTATCTGCGTGTACTCTAAACATCCACAAAGTCTGAAGTCAATCAGTTTAAGTCTTATGGAGGGATATTAATATATACAAAATACCTGGAATGTCACCTGAGGCACGGAGATAGGCCGTCCTCCTGTTAATTAACCCACCTGTTGAGGAAGACAGTCACCAGGCCTGTGTGTACTTCAATACCTACATGTCTGACGTGGTTTGGTTGTCGCGTTGGGGGGAGAAACATTATGAGAACATAATAACACTGGCGCTATAAACAACAGTGCTGACAGCTGAAAGAGGCTGCCTATAGGACGGACGAGAGCCAAAGGAGTTTCTCTCGGTTAACGGAAATAAAGTCACAGAAAAAAATCACAATCTTGGCTGGGATAAAAGTTATATTATATTTAAATATCATTAAGGTAATAAAACCAAAAGCATTTAAAGGTGGTTAAGTTTATCTAAAAATACTGTAGATGGCTCAGATAAATAACCCAAATGAAAATCTTACACAATAACCTTTACTAAATTAATTCTTATGTACACACACAATGAGACTTTCTTCCGGCGACTTTTTTTCCCCAACATTTATTTCTCTCAACAGCCACAACTCACACGTATACTTTAAAAGCCGTGAAGGGGCAGAATAACGTGTGACAGATGACTCAAATAATAAACTACACAACATGGAGAGAAACTTACACAGAGACAATAATCTGAACTGACAGGTGTACAGAGTCCCTTGAGAGCTCGTCCAGGTGTGAGGGACAAGAGGTGACATTAGAAGCCATAGTGTTTGTGTAATATAACAACCGCTAGTTCGTTGTGACGGTGAGTGGCCACAGATATCTATGAGTTGACCAAAAGCTATAGTACTGTACTGTAGACACCCAGTTGGATACACCTGAAGGCTCAACTTGTTCTTCCCTTCATAACTTCGACCAATAGTTGTTCTTCCCTTCATAACTTCAATCAATGGCTGATCTTCCCTTCGTAAGCTCGACCAATGGCTACTATTATCATTTATAGTTCAACCAATAAATGCATCTGGTAATAAGAGTCGTCACCAACATCTATAATTACATTTAAAAGTTCATTAAAGACGTACACTGGAGACATTAGATAACTCTACGTTCGCCAAGGCTGACACGACAGGGGTTAATGTGTTCTAACCTCACAGCACAGTGTTCCAAGGTCACATACTACCTAGCGAAAACCTAATATACTGTGTTCCAACCTTACAACACACACACACACACACACACACACACAAATATTACCTAAATTAAGAGGTGAAAATTTGGGGAGTAATCAAGACATACTTTCTCTTCTGGTGTTGTTCATCTAGGTGGTGAGAGGTGGGCGTGCTGGTCGTGTTCTCCATGGTGTTCTGCAGTGTTCTCCGACAACAGTGAACATCCAACCCACTACAGCACAAATGTTCACGTCAGGTGTTTTACATATAAGGAACGAAAGTGAGAAAAGAACAAAGAACGCCGGTGGTGTTATAATGAACGTAACGTAACAACCCCCGTGATGTTATGATGAATGTAACGCAAAAAAAAGAACTTCAGTCACATAACAAGGAACGAAGAGTAACAATAAAATAACACCGTAACATACAGAACGTGACGTAACAGTGAATGAATCCTAACGCTGTATAAAGTAACATAAGGAACGTTATGTAACACACAACCCAATTACATAAGGAACGTAATAAAACACCTAACCAAGTAACATAATATAACACGAAATATAAAGTGAGGAATAAGGAATTTAATATTGTATACCACGGAACAAAGGAACAAAATGCGACGCGTAGGTTATAAGCATCGGTGGTTCAGTGGTAGAATTCTCGCCTGCCACGCGGGAGGCCCGGGTTCGATTCCCGGCCGATGCATACACTTTTTGGACGTAACGAGGGAGGGAAGCCATTTTCTACTTCTAAATGTTAAATAATTTGTAAGTACGAAAGCAATATATATATATATATATATATATATATATATATATATTTCATGTAAATCCACAATGAAAACGTGGATAAGATATATCTTGATAAAATCACACGGGAAAATGGAAACAACGGAGCACCTTAGCTTTCGTCTTTATTCAAGACATCTTCAGAGGCAACTGACGAAAAGACGAAAGGCAGAAAATAGTGTTTCCATATGCCAAAGTCCATAGTGCCAGAGTCCATAGTGTCAGAGTCCATAGTGCCAGGGCCCACAGTACCAGAGTCAATAGTGTCAGAGTCCATAGTGTCAGAGTCCATAGTGTCAGAGTCCTCAGTACCCGAGTCCATCAGGGAGTATGGCCATCAGGCATACGGTTGATGACTCATCAGTCAGCTTAACTCCCTCTGAGGATTATTTGCTGAGGGGGAAAAGGAGGGGAGCAAGAGGATTAGGTAAGGTTTCAAGGAAGGAGTTGGTCAAGGAAAAGTAGTAGGAAGAGCAGACGGGTGAGGAGGAGGAGGAAGAAGAGGGGGAGGAGGACGAGGAGGGGGTGGGGGTGAGTAGTAGCAGTCGGAAGAGGAGGAAGAGAGGAGGAAGAGAGGAGGAAGAGGATAAGTGAGTTACCTCCACTACACAGCCACTTCTCTCCTAACAACCCAACTAATTATGTCCAGTCCAAACAACCTCCTTAATCATCCAGCCACACGTGATGCCACACCTCACTCCCTGGCACCCTCAACACAGGTCATCACAGGTCAGCAAAGGTCAAAAGATGCCATTAAAGGTCAGTAAAGATGTAAAGGAGATAGTAACTCTGTGTGTGTGTGTGTGTGTGTGTGTGTGTGTGTGTGTGTGTGTGTGTGTGTGTGTGTGTGACGACCTCTTAGGACTTAGGTGATGAGATCGTAATTAGAGTAGAAGACTGAAGTTAAAATATTTATTGCCTTTATTTTTTGTCTTTCTTCAAGAGGTGTTAGTAGCA